TTATTTTTCAGTTCTTGGCGGACACAACATCTTTGTTGGTATGTGGTGCTGAGGATCGAACCCGGGCCGCACGCATGCCAGGCGAGCGCGCTACCGCTGAGCCACATCTCCAGCCCCATTAACTTCTAATATATATAATATTCAAGTCACAGAAGTGTATGTATGTGTGGTTACTGAAAGGCTAAGAAAGGTTTAAGGCAACTACAGGAGTTCAGAAGACTGAACTGACAGCAAAGGTGAAGAGCAGATATGGATACAAAAGTCATCAGATAAGATTATGAACCAGTCAAAGAACTGTTCAGGGTATAGAGCTGTCAAAAGGCAGAAACTTATTCTAGGCCAAGGTCCAGACATGGCAGTTTCACAGTGTCAGTTTGGAGTATGACATGTGAGGTTATCACCAGCAGGAGAAAAAACATGCTCTGCTAAAGCCCAAGGACAGAGATTCAGAAGTACGATTCTGTGAGGTTTTTCCCAAACAAGACTCTTGACAAGTGACCAGGTGATGGGGTCAGGGTGCTGCCATATTCAGTCTTCAGGTGCCTCCTCCTTTTATAGGCCTTGAGTGCTTCATTCAGTGTTCTTGGGGATTCGATAACCTCATGGGCCTGGTTTTTCCTATATGGGTTTGATAAGCCCATGAATCCATGCATTTCTGATTAATTTGATAAGTTCACATGTGGTCATTTTTATTGTCACAATAAATTTATGATTTATGGTTATACCAGATGGTAGTTGTTTACTTGTACAAAGTGTAGAATTATTTCACCTCAAAATTAAACTCAAAATGGAGTAACTTATGGCAAACTACTGCTTTACAAAATTAAGTAACTCAGGTTTAGGCACAGTCTGAGAACTACTATTCTACACATCATAAAGTATTTACTATAAATAACAATAAATACATCATAGAGTATTAACATTAACTCTTACCAATAGTAATCTGTGTCTCTCCAAAAACAATGAAAAAGAATGACAGATTTTCAGTTTGAATACAGACAACTACACACGTTTTTGGTCAGGTACTAAATGTACATTTGCCCTATTCTATTTTACTCATACCTAACTCTGTACCTGGAGTATGTCCTGTTTCTTTCCTACTCTTAAAGCCTACTCTTAAGTTTAACTAGCCAGTTTTTTATTCAAATAATTCTTAGAATCCCACTGTCTCCAAAGTTTCCCCAGTAAACTAAGTGTTACTTAAATTTGGTGAAAATACTTCATTTACAAGAATAATCATGATTTCCCCCATGTCTTGTTTTCCCTATAGACCTTTACTTACTTGTTAGGGCATATACCCTGATAATTGGTTAGGTCACATAAAGCCCCACCAAGCCTCAACATGCATGCCATTGTTTCCTTCATCCATATTCTTTCTATAATATACAAACCTCACTACACACAGAGAACTATTTTGACATTTGCTCTACTTCCTGTATGTCTTTTGGATCTGGGACAGAAAAATATAGCATACCCAAGAGACCTGGGAGGAAGGGGACTAGACTAGGATAGAGAGGGAAAGGATAGGGAAGGGGAAGGTGAGATGGAAGGCTAGAAGTAACCCATTTTTGTCACAGGACAGGAGAATGACAGCTGGCAGATAGCTGAGTATACAATATAAACAAATGGGATAGCCAGGATTGAAATACAAAATTAAAAAAAAAAATGCTAAATGGTATTTCCTCAATATATATTTGCAGAGTGAATGTTGAAWACAATCTTTTACTGAGCCAGTTTTTTTTTTCTTGCTTTTTTTTTTTTTAGAGAGAGAGAGAATTTTTAATATTTATTTTCTAGTTCTCAGCGGACACAACATCTTTGTTGGTATGTGGTGCTGAGGATCGAACCTGGGCCACACGCATGCCAGGCAAG